AGGTTTTGGTTTCAGCTTTCTTTGCACGGCAGCCATTTTTCACGATTTGTTTACAGTTACTGACACTTCCCTCTGGCTCTAAAGATTGCTCCCACACTGTCAGCAATCAAGTAAGCCTCTCAAAACACACTCACTGTTTTTCCTCCCCCTTCGTCTCACTTATCAGTCTTTTCGCATAAGAGGCATCCCTCTTTGCGATCCGCTTTCCCATGGGGGGGGGATAATTTGCTTTTTACAATCGTCCACTTATTTTGAACTCACGTTCATTGTCGGTCAATTTCTCTGACCTCGCTAGCTTCAACGCTGTTCCGCTCGATCTCCAGCGCTTGTCCTGGTCAAACCAGCTTGTGCCCGAAGGCCACGCAGCAGCCAGACCATCAGGGCGGAGGGGAGCCTCAAATTCTCCGGCTTTACACCATCAAAGAGGCTACCCCTCAAAAGCCCTCTGGCCTGGAGCCTATCCCAAAGGCTCCATGGGGGTGCTACTTGAGGGAGCACCCCTCCAACCTGCTGGTGTGCAAGTCGCTCCCCCAAGGTCCGGGGAGGACGACCGCCATCACTGATCCACAAACCGGAAGTGCCTTATTCAGCTATCTCTCGATGTGTATGTGTACCAATGAATGTATGGTACTGAACCAACATTTTATATAGCTGCCGACTTCAGACGTCAGTACTGTGAATTACGTAAGAATGGTAGTATTGGTTTGTGTGTCATGTTGTTAACCTAAATGTATTTACTTTGAGTCAGATTCCTTTCATTCAGCCCCTTCAACCCACTTTGGCTTCGGAAGGCACTCAAATGTATTGAAAGGTTTCAAACATCTTAGGGATAAAATGCTGTTCTCCCACAGTTAATGGAAAATGGTTTTTCCAAAACTTGTTTTGATACAGGACATTTTTGTTTGCTTGCTTGCTTTTGTTTCTTGCACTTTACCCTTGGAGGTATGTGGATGCCACCTTAAAGAAAAATCCATTTGTCTTCAGAAGCCAAGCAGGTGTGTTTTATTATTTTTAGTTATTTATAAAAGGTATGCCCCACCTTTCTGTCCTCCTCATGGTCATCAAGGCAGCTAACGGAATTAAAAACATACATAATATAAATATTTAAAGCCAAAACAGAAACATGGTTCAAACAATTAAAACCAAGTGAAAGAAGAAGAAGAGAAGAGATTGGATTTATACTCCACCCTTCACTACCCAAAGAAGTCTCAGAGCAGCTTACAAACCCCTTTCCCTTCCCCTCCCCACAACAGACACCCTGTGAGGTAGATGGGGCTGAGAGAGCTCTGACAGAAACTGCTCTTTTTCAAGGACAGCTGTGCCAGAACTAGGGCTTGCCCAAGGTCATCCAGCAGGTGCAAGTGGAGGAGTGGGGAATCAAACCCGGTTCTCCCAGATTAGAGTCCACGCACTTAACCACTACACCAAACTGGCTCTCTAAATACATGTACATTACAGTAAAGTACACATCACATAAAAACAATAATTAAAAACAGTGCAGGAAGGGGAGACCGTTAAGGGAATGCCAGAAGAAACAAGTCTTCACCCACTGGTGGAAGACAACAGCAGAAGGGGACAGGGGAGTATCTCAGGGCAGAGAGTTCCGGTGTTTCCGTGTCCTGGCTGAGAATTCCCTCGTCCAGTTTGCCACCCACAGAATCTCAGAAGGAGGACACCTAAAGCAGGATTTGGAAGATGACTCTGGAGGTTGGTGTCAGACTTTGGGGCAAGTTACTCTCAACCACACCGTCTCTGGCAGAGAAAGGCTTTATTGAGATATAAACGAGTTCCAGGCATTTAACAGTACTGTGTCAGTTCTAAAGCGTTTTGGCAGGTACATGCCTAGATGTAGAAAGTTCAAACTGTAACCCCTCCTAAGGCCCACTCATATGTCATACAGCCAGGCTCCCGTGTCTCTACCCCCCCCTTCTCATGGGAATATACGATCCCATTACCTGCTACACAAGCTGGCACTAGGAGCTTCAGGGTCATCGCCCTGTGAACCGGGGAGAGGCACGTCTTCAGGAAAGTTACGCCGTCTAAGATAGAGCATTCACACACCCTGCACTTGCTCCTCCCACCCTAGGAATTCCCCTCCCCTGGCGTCTATGGCAGACTATGTGAAGCGAAGCAAGGTCTGACAGTTGGGTAGGTTCGTGAGGAGGTAGGCGGTCCTTCAGGTATGCTGGTCCCGAGCCATGGATGGCTTTAAAGGTCATTGAATTGTGCCTAGAGAGTGATACGGTCCCCGCGACCCACTGCACAACATCCTGGCTACAGCCTTCTGCACCAACCGACATTCCCAAACACTTTTCAGAGGCAGTCCCATGTAGGGTGCATTGCAGTAACCGAATCGAGATGTAACCAGGGCGTGGGCGACAGTGGGCAAATGTTTCCTGCCCAGGAAAGGCTCCAACTGGCTGATCAGTCGAAGCTGTCAAAAGGCACTCCTGGCCACAGCTGCCACTTGTTTAAAGGACCCATCTGAAAGGGAAGTCTTCTCATGTCATGTGTTTTGGGCTTAGGATCTGATTAAATTGTAAGGAGCACGTCCTTCGTATGCTAGCGGTGTATCCACGCCTTCGCATCCTTACGTTCACCATAATAAGCGCTTGTTGTCCTCTGTTAGGCAGACCAGAGTGGTGTGGTGAGCAGGGGCTTTCTGGATATTTGCAGTAGGGAGTTCAGGAGGACATGGGGCAGTTGCTGTGGGCGTGTCTCGTTGACCCTGAGAAGTCAGGAGAATGGGGAGGACCTTGCTCATGCCGACTTCTGTCTGCCTTAAGATCTAATACACTGGTGTCAGCGAGCTGCCATTTCTCTGGGACACGTCCCGTCCCTCTTCCTTCCCTCCCCCCCCTTGTTATCCTCTTCTGGTATGCTGCTGTAACTGCCAAGTGTCTCCTGCAGGTGGACGTTGGAGTGTTATGTCTTCTTGCCTAGCTTAATTACATTTCCCGTGTGAACTCAACTTGTGTTTATGGTATTAGCTGTTGTGGTTCTCAGGCTGCTTCGCGCCTTTTCTAATCAGCTCCCTTGCGAGGGAATTGTGCCCATTGGGTTAACCAAGTTTGAAGTTCCTATATTACGTTGCCCCTGTGTATTGTCTTTATTCTGAACAATCTCTGTATGTTCATGATCAACCATGCTTTGGAAATAAATCTTACTTCTTTGGAACGTGGGTTTGTTATCCTGACTTGGGATCTGACAACTGGGTAAATACACCAAGTAAAAAGTATCGATCACTGATCTTCAGCAGGTTTTATCAGCCCGGGAGCAAAAGGGTGTTGTTAGCTCACTAATTAAAAAAAACTTTTTAGTTATAGTCTTTCTTCAGTTTCATTCCGGTTAAAGGTAGTAGTGACTTCTGAAAGCACACCTGAAATCTCCAGTGACCACGAACCTCCTCCCGGCCTGTGATGCTGCTGCTTTCTTAGCTGCTGCTGCTGCTCTTTGTTACAGCTTATCTCTGATGCTGGGTACCAGGGAGAGATAACCAGTGTGTCCACAGCGTGCCAGCAGTTAGAAGTCTTTTCTCGAGTTCTGCGTACCTCCCTGGCGACCATCTTAGACGGTGGAGAAGAAAACCTGGAGAAGAATCTGCCTGAATTTGCCGTAAGCATCGTCTGCTCTCTCTCTCTTTTCCCTTTTTTCCTTCCAAGGGTAGCAGGCCTGTTATATCTCAAATCAGTGTTACATCCCAAAGGTATCCGATATGGGAAGTGTGCGAACGGGTTTGCACGGATTGTGTTTATTTATTTAGAAGACGTATATGCTGCCTCTCTATTCCAGGCAATTTACAAAATAAAAAAATACAATAAAATTGAAAAAAAAACAATAACATAAGAGTTATCGATACTATACAAGGCATAAAAAATGATCCAGGGGCACTTAGATGCTTCCTCCTCCTCTGGGTGATTTCCTGGGATGCTTATAGAGGCTAGCTGTGTTGGTCTGTGGTAGAACAGCTGGATTCGAATCCAGCAGCATCTTAGAGACCAATAAGAGTTTCCGGGTATCTGACAAAGGGAGCCTTGAATCTCAAAAGCTTTATATCCTGAAAATCTTGTGGGGTCTCTAAGATGCGACTGGACCTGAACCCAGCTGTCCCTGGGATGCTGAATCTACTTGTCCAGGGTCCAGTAACCAGTTGTATCTCAGAACTCGCTGGTTGTCTCCAGTATCTGTCTCTTCCTCATCCATTGTCTACACATCCTGTTGTGTAGTGTGGCTGTCAAACTACCATGGAACAAAGTTTGAGTCCAGTGGTACACATTTAAGGCCAACAAAATTTAATTATGGGTATAAGCTTTCATGTGCATGCATACGTCTTCAGCTACCCAGAGTTCAACTTTGTTGGTCTTAAAGGCGACACTGGACTCAAACGTTGTTCTCTTGCTTCAGACCAATATGGCAGCCCACCTGAAACTGTGCCGTAGTTATCAAAAAAAATTACAAGTCTGGGGGCAGTAGGTATTTAACTACTTATTCCTTTCGTTGCCATTCAGCTGAATAAATAATTGTGCTGCTGGCTTCCTTTCCGTTTAGCTCCACCAATTCACTTGGCTGCTGTCCAGCAGTGATGCCAGCCTCCCCCTCCAGCATCCCTAAAACATCCTGCAAAAAAATCCCAGTGAGAAGGCAGAGAAAGCAACTCCTCCCCATGGAAAAAGGAGAAACTTCTCTTCTCAGCTGAGTTTTGTGCGATGCACAAATATTACCTGTGTGTGAAGGAATACCCTTATTATTGAGTGATGGGAATCCTGAAGTTATACTGGCAGTTGCAAAATTTATTTCAGTCCTTATGTCCCTTAAGCAATAGGTTTAAACAATTCCGCTGCTCCAGATCTGTGTCTCAAGGAGCTTCTACGGCATAGAGAAAAAGAAAGGATGTGTAAATAGCTTCTGGCTGATGTTGCCCCTGATACAAAAGTTCAGTGAGAGGAAACCCTTCTAATTTCTGCCATAGAGAATGAACAGGAAGGAATGGGGGGCGGGATTTGGGAAGGGCGTTTGCTTTTGCATGGAAGGCACAAGCAACTGCTTCTGCAAAAGCCCAGTGGTGGAAACTCCCTAATTTCCAACATGCAGTAGCTCATTGGTGGAAATTAGGATGGTTTTCTCTCCCTTCCCATGAGCTTTTGCAGAAGTTGCTGCTCGTGCCGTCCTTTCAAAGGTAAATGCCCTTCCCTTCCCAAATTCAATCCCCAGGGCTCACAAAGTTAGTTTTGGTGGCCACCAAACTGAATTGGGTGACTGAAGCTAAACCAGAATATATTGTTATATGCAGAGGATGGCCTTTTCTTGCTCTTTGCCAATTATAACGGAACACCAGAACCGTGCTTGTAAAAATGAAGTGCCAAGCACCATGTCGGCATCGGCAGCCTAACAGCCCACTCTAGCCCAATCTCTTCAGAACTTGGAAGGTATCCAGGGGGCCAGCTGTGGTCAGCACTTGGACGGGAGACCACCCGGGATGACTGGGGCTCCTGTGCAGAGAAAGGCCATGGCAAAGCCACCCCTGCCCATCCCTCGCCTTGAAAGCCCCCTTGCTCCTGGGGTCACCACGAGCCTGTTGCAACTTGACGGCACGCAGTTATATCATTGCCAGGTTTGTTTTTGCTTTCATAGGACATCCTTTTGTTGCTTCTTCATGAGCACAACGTGTTGACATTACTGACCCATTCCAGAGTGGCTGATAGTCTGTCTCTTGGTTGCATTTGCAGAAAATGGTGTGCCACGGAGAACATACGTACCTCTTTGCCCAGGCAATGATGTCCATACTGGCCCAGGAAGAACAAGGTGGTTCTGCTGTGCGCAGGATTGCGCAAGAGGTTCAGCGGTTTGCTCACGAAAAGTAAAGTCTATATTCTTAATGTATACTTTGCTTCTATCTCTTCTGTTCTCTCCCTCCTTGGATTGCCTAATATAAAAGGTCACCCGCTCCATTCCACGCTTACAGTTCATTCTGGGGGATTATTAGAAACTTGAACCTACCCTGGAAATCAAGTCATTGGTAGAATATCAGAGCAGTATCAAGCCAACTTGCTCAGTATAAACCTGGCAAAATAAATCTTCCCAATCTTGGTGTGCCACAGGGTATGTCCAGGGAGCTTCTGAGCTCAAGGACCATCACCACATCCCATAGCAGTGCCCTAAAAGAAACAGAATGTTCTGTATCAGCCTTCAACAAGAGAACATACAAGGAGATGCATATTCAGTGGCTGTTCCACAACTACAGAATTGCGTTTTCCTTGGGGGGGGGGGATCACCCTTTTCAAGGTCAGAGCATTTTTCAGACATGATGTAAAACTTCTAGTTCAAGTTAGCCATTAAATAGGGTTTGCACAGGTCTGAGGCTTTTCCTTAACGTAACATATTCTTTATTTTTCTATGCTGTTTAACTTTCAAGCATCAGCATCCAGACCTGAAACGTTAGGATTGGAAATAATGTAGATCTATCCAGACATCCATCCTTTTGCAATAGCTGGGCTAGATTAACAGGACTGTCCTTGAAAATTCTGATGGTCCATAATATGGCAACCGCATTGTTAACTCGAGAGTGCATTATTAATTGGGTGGTGGAAAGTGCCATCAGGTTGCCAGCTTATAGCAAGCAAGAGAAGGCAAGAGATAAACAGAAGTTGTTTCCCACTGCATGCGTTTCCCCTCCATGTACTAACCGGCACTGACCCTGCTTAGTTTCCAAGATCAGGGCCATCCAGGTCAGGGCATGGAGGATATTTACCAATCTGCTGCTGGGCACGATTCAAGGTGCTGAGGCTTGGGGATACTGGTGCCTTCTGTACCTGTCAGGTCTTTGAGATCTATATATCCTGCACTGTGCAGGGAGTTGGACTAGATGACCCTGGAGGTCCCTTCTAACTCTGTGATTCTACCTGTTGAACCCCTTCCCACCACTGCCACCCTAAAAAGTAGGCTGTAACCAGGAGAAAGGCCTTTCAGGGGCTGAGTTCTGAATTACACCCTTCCCAGACAGTTTTGTGGGGCACTTAACCTGTTGTTGAAGAAAAGGTCATAGTATTTGCCTTTCACTTTTATGGAGTGTTTTACTCCTTGCTGCAGTGGCTCAAGTGGTTAAGACGCTGAACTGCAGGCTGTGGAAGGTCAGTAGTTCAGCAGTTCAAGACCCGGGTGCCGCAAGACGGAGTGAGCTCCCGTCTCTAGTTCCAGTTCCTGCCAACCTAGCAGTTCGAAAGCAAGAAATTGCAAGTAGATAAATAGGTACCACTTTGGTGGGAAGGTAACAGCGTTCCGTGTGCCTTGGTGTTTAGTCATGCCGGCCACATGACCACGGAAACGTCTTCAGACAGCGCTGGCTCTTCGGCTTTGAAACGGAGATGAGCACCGCAACCCTAGAGTCGGATTCGACTGGCTTTCGAACAAGGGAACCTTTACCTTTACTCCTTGCAGTTTTACTGGTATTCTGATATTCTGCTGTCATGATTGTTCTTCTTTCTACTTTGTTTATTCTACTTTGGATTTGATTTTTTTGATTTTTGGCACGTTGCTTCTTGCACTTTTAACTGGAAAAGCAGTCTAGAAATTTTCTACACAAAATAAGCATGTCTAGCGATCTTGAATGGGAATGACTGACATGCCGCTTTAAGTATAGTTAGGTCTGTGGGTATGAGCCTAAAGGCCGGTGACCATTCTCAGGTCTGAGCTCAGTTGAGTGGATACTTCCCTGCCGTCTTGTTTGCAAGCAGGCCATATTTAACAAGCATGTTTCCCTTTGAAAACTGCTCAGTATTATTTCCCCTGCTGGACTGTCTGACACGGCTTGTTCCGCGGAGTGCCTACAATTAGTGCTCATGTTCTCTCTCCTGTTCTTTGTCAAGAGGCCATGATGCTAGTCAGATCACTTTAGCTCTGGGAACTGCCGCCTCCTACCCCCGGGCCTGCCAAGCTCTCGGAGCCATGTTGTCGAAAGGAGCTCTGAACCCAGCGGACATCACAGTCCTGTTCAAAATGTTCACAAGCATGGATCCCCCTCCAGTAGAGCTGGTGAGTAGCAGTCTGTCTTTTGAAGGATCAGCTTTTTGTTTCTCTGTTTCGGGAGCATCAAAAAGGGGTCGCAGCCCCACCGCGTCTTGTTGGACAGGAAACCTAAAATATTTAATGGCTATGAACTTGCTATGGAGTAAATATTGATTTATTCCTCCTCTTCCTCCTCCTCCTCCTTTTTAAACAATTCAGTAAAACATGAGCGTACAACCGGGGAGGGAGCAGTAACAGTGAAAGAATGCCAAACAGGAAAGCTTATGCCCAGAGTTAAACTTTGTTGGTCCTAAAGGTGCCACTGGACTCAAATCTTGTTCTGTTGCTTCAGACCAACACGGCTGCCCTCCTGGAATAAATGTTGTTAGTCTTTAAGGTGCCATCGGACTTCTGTTTCGTTTTGCTACAGTACGCTAACATGGCTTCCCCACTGGAGTAAGCACAGTGTGCCCTACATAAACGGGGGCGGGTGGGTGGGATTCAGACTATACAATGCTTTCAGGGTCTATTTTGTTGATACAGATTTCTCAGCACCTTGTTGGTTGTGGGATATTTGTGCATGCCGCCAATTACAATTGGCTCCTGGTTTCTAATGGGCCTTTTACTAAATGCCGGTGTATGAAATTTACTTCACCCTGAATAGAAAGTTGCATGTAATCTGTACCTACAGTTAGCTCCAAATAATCACAAACTGAGTCAACTCACAGAATGGGATCCTCCTGCAGCAGCCCAGCCTAAAATTTTCCTCCTGGGATTAGGGACACTTTGTGTGGAGGGGAGGGGCGTTGGGAGAAGAAGAATCAGCACCCCCCTCCCCCTGGTTCCACCACCAACATTACCATGCCGCCGTCATAAGTGCTGTTATCTCGGCGAGAGAGCACATTCGGGTTTACTTCCGTATGTTCCAAGGGCGCTTTTGAAATCACCGTAATTCTTGCCTCTTTCTTTCGCAGATCCGAGTGCCTGCTTTCCTGGATCTCTTCATGCTCTCGCTGTTTAAACCTGGTGCTAAGATCAATCAGGACCATAAGCACAAATATATCCATATCTTGGCCTACGCAGCTAGCGTTGTCGAAACATGGAAAAAGGTAAGCTCAGTTGGAGCAGACCGACGCTGCTTTGGGGCAAATCTGTGCATTGAAACTGGGAAAGGGATGTGTCATTTTATGCTTCACCATCACTTAGAACAGTACATAAGAACATAAGAGAAGCCAATGTTGGATCAGGCCAATGGCCCATCCAGTCCAACGCTCTGTCACACAGTGGCCAAAAATACCAGGTGCCATCAGGAGGACCACCAGTGGGGCCAGGACACTAGAAGCCCTCACACTGTTGCCCCCCCAGCACCACGAATACAGAGCATCACTTGCCCCAAACTGAGAGTTCCTATCTATAACTTGTGGCTAATAGCCACTGATGGACCTCTGCTCCATACGTTTATCCAGCTCCCTCTTGAAGCCGTCCATGCTTGTAGCCACCACCACCTCCTGTGGCACTGAATTCCATGTCTTCAGTTTGGGGGCCATAACACCTGCTGACACTTTTTCCTGGTGGCCCCCCCCCCAAGTGTTTTAAGAAAGTGGGTGGGGCCAGGTGGGGATTTTGTCCAGCCGGACTTCTGATCGGCCGATGAAGATCTGATTTGCTGCGCAGATTTTTTTAAAAAAATGCTGCTTTGTGCTGCCACCACAGCACAAGGATCTTCACTGCATGGCTGGAGGTGAGCTGCATGTATAAAAGATTTTTTTTTAAACAGTGTGTTCATTTTAAAAGGTACCCACATGAAATATTAAAGAATTACTATTAGAGTCACGCATAACCTCACTCTTTGATATTTTGCAGTTGGATCTGCTTCCTGTCGCAGCTATTCTGTGGTTGTGCCCACTGTCCTGTTCCAAAGATTGGCAGGCTCAAAATAGTTTAGGGAGACCTGATTTGGAATAAAGCTTTAAGAAGAAGAAGAAGAGAAGAAGAGATTGGATTTATACCCCGCCCTTCACTACCCTTCACTACCCAAAGAAGTCTCAGAGCGGCTTACGAACTCCTTTCCCTTCCCCTCCCCACAACAGACACCCTGTGAGGTACGTGGGGCTGAGAGAGCTCTAACAGAAACTGCTCTTTTTCAAGGACAGCTCTTATCAGAACTACGGCTTGCCCAAGGTCATCCAGCCAGGTGCACTTAACCACTACACCACACTGGCTCTCTTAAGACTTGATTTTTACCTCTGCAGGTGAAGTCAGGCAAGCCAAGCTTTTCTCTCCTTATAAATAAGTAGTGGTTTCTGTATGCTCAGTAATCTAGCCAGTTTGGTGTAGTGGTTAAGTGTGTGGGCTCTAATCTTGGAGAACTGGGTTTGATTCCCCACTCCTCCACTTGCAGCTGCTGGATGACCTCAGGCAAGCCATAGTTCTGTCAGAGCTGTTCTTTCAGTTCTGTCAGAGCTCTCTCAGCCCCACCTACCTCACGAGGTGTCTGTTGTGGGGAGGGGTGGGGAAAGGAGTTTGTAAGCTGCTCTGAGACTCCGAGTGAAGGGCAGTGTATAAATCCAATCTCTTCTTCTTCTCTTCTTCTTCTTATATAACTATCATGAAAAATGGGCCAGTGTTAGAGTCAGCAAAGACCAGTAGCTTGCTAAAAGTTGGAGCTATCTGGATTATGATTCTGCTAAAATTATATTCCTGGCATGCCTTCCTTTAACCTCAGTTTCAAATATGACACCTTTTTGTAGTACATGGTCTATGGACTTATTTTAATGGTGTATGCCATACTTATTTTAATATAGAAAACTCTGTCTCAGAGCAAAGGTGTTGGACTAGTAAACATATGGTTCTTCTAGCCAGAACGTGTTGTCAATTCCATGTAAGTGAGCTGGAATTTTAAGTGTGTATGCTGGTATAATATCTAGATATCTAAATGGACCATCTTATGCCTCATCAAAAAAAAATTACCATTTCTTCATGGTATTAAATCTGGAGTAGCTTTACACATTATCTAATAAGTTAATTCAGTCTGTGAAATAACTCAGGTGAAATACATGTAGGGAGTCCCTCTAAGATGAGTTAGTGTGAGCTAGCTCACAGTTTTTTAGCCTCCAGCTCGCACATTTTCGTCTTCGCTCAGGAAGGAGGGCTCCAGAGCAAACTAATTTATGCAGTAGCCAGATTGCTCGCTCACAACTTTAATGCCAGTAGCTCACAAAGCAGAATTTTTGCTCACAAGACTCCACAGCTTAGAGGGAGCATTGGTAGGGACCACAAAGTCGTCACTTTTCAAAAGGGTTAACAAAGTGAAGATTGTACTGTGTTCCAGCATTTAAAAGCAATTTAAATGTGAGGGTTGGTGTTTTGTTTTGTTTTTTGGCCTTCCAAACCATATCCTGTAACATTCATAGAACAAGAGAATGGGCATAAATAAAGACGAGCTCAAGTCCACCTCAAAAGCTGTTGAAACGGTTCATAATCTCTGCTGTAATGAGAATAAGGGAGCATCTGAACTTGTAGCAGAGCTGAGCACCCTTTACCAGTGCATCAGGTAAGTCCCTCCTTTGGATAAAAGTCTGTATACGGTCCAAGCGTGCATTAAACAGTGTTCTAAGGAAAGATGGTGTTCTCCTTTGTAACATCATTCTGGAAGTGTTCTGCTTCAGAGCAGTGTGGAGGGAGCAGAGAAATTTGCAGGCTCAGTCTTTATGCCGGCGATCTTCTTCGTTTTGCTGAAGTGACGTTTCTTTTAAACATGCACAAAGGTTCTGTGAAATGCCTGCCTTCTCAACATTCTGGAAACTTTTTCTGTGTCTCAGAAGCACATGTCGGAACCTGTTATGCTTAATTCTGTCTTTTTTTCCCCTTGCTCCTCAACCGGTGATTCTCTGCACTGTAGAAAATGACCGCCTTCTGCTGTGGAATTACTAGACAGTGTTTTGGTGGCCATATTTGCTCAGTACCACTTCATTTGGTGTTTGGTGTAGTGGTTAAGTGCGCGGACTCTAATCTGGGAGAACCGGGTTTGATTCCCCACTCCTCCACTTGCAGCTGCTGGATGACCTTGGGCAAGCCATCGCTCTGATAAGAGCTGTCCTTGAAAGGGCAGTTCTTGAAAGAGCTCTCTCAGCCCCACCTACCTCACAGGGTGTCTGTTGTGGGGAGGGGAAGGGAAAGGAGCTCTGAGACACCTTTGGGTAGTGAAGGGCAGGGTATAAATCCAATCTCTTCTCTTCTTCTTCTGTTTTTAACTTTCTTTCTTTTTGAATAGTTGAATTAAAAGCCCAGCATGCTGATGGCCCAGAACGATCCTGGGGCTGCATTTCCTTGTAGTCCGTTATATAGCAAGTCTCATCTAAGGTCCTTTTTATGGGAAGTCCTTTGCCTGCTTGTTAAGACAGGTGACACTTTCAGTCTTTGGAGAACTGCACCATTTTCTTGGATGAGTCAGAGATTGTTCTATCAATTAGGGTCTTGGCTGCCAGACCAGAACAGTAAGGAGGCCACATCAGACTCGAAGAATTACATCTGCCTGGTCTTCTTTCAGAAATGTTGTGTGGGGGGGAAATGATGACTATATAGGGATGGTAGGCTGGGGAAACCGAAGGAGGTTTGCCAGTGCCAGCGTAATTCACTTGGAACATCAGTAGGCTGAATCAGTCAATGGCAGTTTGGCAAAAGAGAAATTGAGAAGTCCTCCTGGCACACCTTCATGTTCTAAAACTCTGCGTTGAAACAGTGTTAGAGCCCATAGATACAGCTGTGCTTTGCTTTAGGACAGAGAGCCCTCTGCCATACGACTCTATGCCTTGGAAGAAAGTCCCACTGTTAGCAGCTTCTTGAGAGCCAACCAGCTGTGCGGTTTAATTCATAGGGCAGAAGTCTGAAGTTGGCATATTTAATGTGGTTTCCCTATATCTTTAGGTTTCCAGTAGTAGCAATGGGGGTACTGAAATGGGTCGACTGGACAGTGTCAGAGCCCCGCTATTTCCAGCTCCAGACGGATCATACCCCAGTGCATTTGGCACTGTTGGATGAGGTAAGACCGGAGTTGTGTGTGTGCTGCTCTAGATTAAATGTGTTCCAAGAAAAGCAGTAGTCTGTGTCTTCAGTAATTAGCTTGTGCTGGAACAAAGTCTGAGTCCAGTGGCACACAAAAGCTGATACCCAGAATTAAACCTTGTTGCTCTTCAATGTGCCACTGGACTCAAACGTTGTTCTATTGCTTCAGATCAACACAGCTACCCCCACCTGAATCTATCTGGTGGTGCTAGTTTTAGAAAGGGGTAAACAACTATGCACGGGGTTGAAGCCCTCTCCCTGGATACTGGAAGGCCTGCTTGAGGCTTCCTTTGGCTTCTGAGAGTTCCCCAGGGATTGTATTCACACTCTTCCAGGTGTTCTCTTTGCACCTGTTAAGTGTTAGTAAACTTGGGGATGAGGGAGGCAGTTTTAAATGAAAGCTGATGTTAAAGTTGCCGAATGCCAGGCTTGGTATCAGGTTTCCCGTTTGTTTATGCGGAATTGTGAAATCCACACAGCCCCTGTTTGTGGGAAAGTGAGAGCTCTTTCCCACACTTCCCTCTCCCCCCCCCTCCATTTTTGACAGCTTCATTACCTTGAAGCTTTCCCGTAGCTGTGAAAAGTGTGAAGTAAGCAGCCAATGAACAGTTCAGAAGTCTACAAAATGGCAGCCCACAAATATCACATCAGTTGGGTGCTATACGGGGATGAGTTTGTGTGTTTGGTTTTTATTTTAATTACACCAAACAGAAAGAAAGAAATATATAACAACAGTGGCAGCACGTTTACAGATGGGCCTCTGTAAAAGATTTTCAGATATCTAAAATAGGTCCATGTGCAGTTGTCATCCATGTGCTGTACGCTCAAACAGTGGTAAGGTTGTAAGGTCCCTCAATCCATTGGATTATTGGAAATGGGCATTTGTCTTAAATGTATGCTTTGGGCCTCTCCGGTTATTCAGTCTTTTGGGGAGGAAGTTATTGCTCGTATCAGTTTTGTGTTAGAATGTTCATTGATATCTTAAATGTATTTTTTTTATTTTTAACCAAGATAGGAGTACAGAAACTAAAAGGGAAATAAGAATTTGATAAAAAGATTTAACATATAGATAACAAGGATGATCAACAACAGAATAAACACAATTCATGTACATGACATATGTGTAATATTCAAGAGTGTTTTCCCCCCCAATCCTAATTAAAATTTACACCGCATCAACAAATATTTAGTAATCTTTATATACTGCCTTACCTTGTTAAGAATGTTCATTGATTCTTGAGGATGCTTATAGACTTTTAAACTATCCTCCTGTCTCCTGGAGATGAATTGATGGTCAATGAAAAGGAACCCTTCTGTGCCCTTGCCTGTTGCTAAAAGATTTGGGATGAGTTTGTGTTATAAGGATTCCAGGTTAGCTGTTTGAACATTCTTAGCAGCAGTTTTTCTTGTTTGGCAGTTTTTGTTTTGTGTTGTTTGTTTAAAAAAGCACTTCTAGGAGGAGGGGTTCCAATGGGCGACCATTGAGCAAGTTTTGCACTAATATCGGGCATCCTACAGACTGACTTTCCATTTTGCAGATCAGCACATGCCATCAACTGCTTCACCCTCTGGTCTTGCAGCTGCTTGTCAAGCTCTTCGAGACAGAGCACTCTCAGCTTGACGTCATGGAGCAGGTGACGGAAATTACAGGATTGGGGTAGGGTTGCCAACCTCCAGGTGGGGGCGGGAGATCCCCTGGAATCACAACTGATCTCCAGGTGACAGAGATCAGTTCCCCTGGAGAAAACGGCCACTTTGGAAGGTAGACTCTAGGGCATTATGCCACCATTGAAGTCCCTCCCCAAACCCCGCCCTCCTCGGGCTCCACCCCTAAAATCTCCAGGTATTTCCCAACCTGGAGCTGGCAGACCTACATTGGGGGTGGGGGACAAGGAACAATTGTCATCTGGGGCGGTGGGGGGGGGTTATCCCATGAAGTCCAAAGCAACCCCCTGGCTTGTGTTGGAGGGAGTGAAAGCGCCAGGTGAGAAGGAAGTGTGGCCAGGAAGTGCATTCAAGGCAGAATTATTTCACAATAAAGCAAGGAGAAGAGTAGCATCTGTTGGAGGTAACCTCCTTAAGGTATACGCCTAGGGCCCTTTTGTTAGGCAAAGCTGCTGAATAGCATGCCTAACAGTACTTGGATTAGATCACAGTGCTTAGGATAGTAGTCATGGAGCCAGCTGTCCCTCAATGAGTCATTTCTCCCAGGACCTCTTCTTTGTTCCAGAGCTGCTCCATTCCACAGCCAAGCTAGCTGGCCCCATTGTATTTCAGGAGTAAAATTCAGTCATACCGAGCGACCTTGTCCTGCCCGTTCACCCTCTTAGCTTACTTTCTTACATCCTGCGAAGACCCCTCAGGAGCAATTCTCCGATTGAGGGCTTGCTAGACTTTGAGTTTTACAGCAAAGATAAGCTGTAACAAGCTGAAGGGGTATCACAGAATCATAGAATTGGAAGGGACCCAGCGTGTCATCTAGTCCAACCACCTGCACAAGGCAGGAAATTCACAAATGCCTCCCCCCCCACACACACACTCCCCCAGTGACCCCTGATCCATGCCCAGAAGATGGCAAAAAACCTCCAGGATCCCCAGCCAAACTGGCCTGGAGGAAAATGGCTTCCTGACCCCAAAGTGGCGATCTGCATTTCCCTGAGCGTATAAGAAAGGGCCACAAGAACTAAGCACTGAGGCAACCCTCCCTGCCCTCCCTGCCTGAGTTCACAGAACCAGCCTTGCTGTCAGGTGGCAGTAGAGACTTCTTGTCAACAAAACGGAGACGAAGAAAGGCCACTGCAGCGTTCAGTGGGCACGAGCCCAGAGAGACATGAAAGCGTGCCCCTCCAGCCCCGAACCACTCAGGCTGCTGTCAAAACAGACAACTGCCGCAGGAGGGCCAGACCGGCATCACGGTTAGGACGCTGGACTAGGATCTGGGGAGACCCGAGTTCGAATTCCAATCTGCCATGGACGTTTTCTGGGTGAATCTGGGCCAGTCACACACTCTCGGCTTGACTTGCCTCGCAGGAGTGTTGTTGTGAGGATAAAATGGAAGAAAGGAGAGTGTTGTAAGCACTCTGGGGTGCCCACTGGGGAGAAAGGTGGGATATAAATAAAATTCATTTTAAAAAATGTATTTATTATCTGATTTATACCCCGCCCCTCCCAGCCAAGGCCAGCTCAGGGCGGCTTACAAAAGAATAAAACACACAGTACATGATTTAGATAATCCTAAAACAATTATAACATTATAAAAAATAAATGAAAGCACCTGGAAGCTTTTCTGCAGGTGTGGCCTCAGTCAGAGGTGAACTAGAAGGGACTGGGGCAAGGCGAGTGGCGGGGCTGCTCTGCTCCAAGAAGGCAATTAAGTTCTTTCGTGGCAGTTTGGGAATGCTTTGTTAGCAGACCAACTGGGCCCACGTCCCCCTCATCATAACACATTAGTTATGTTCGTTGCATCTATGACACTGTCCATCTATGACACTGTCCTGCAGGTGTGGCCTCAGCCAGAGGTGAACTAGAAGGGACTGGGGCAAGGCGAGTGGCAGGGCTGCTCTGCTCTAGGAAGGCAATTAAGCTCTTGTCGTGGCAGTTTGGGAACGCTTTGATCTTCTTCGTGGTCTCTGTGCATCACACCCTTGGGAATACTCTGCGCCTGCGCTGACCTTCTCGGTACCGATAGCTAGCAAAAGGGATTTTCGCGCCTCTCCCAGGTCACGCGCCGGCTCCACTGCGCATGACCAAGGAGGGGCACGCAGATCCCGCCAGTTCTCTTCTGACCGCCGCGCTGGTAGGACGCCTTCTGCCTCGGTCTGCTAAGTACCAAACTTTTTTTGCTAAACTTGCGTTTAGTTAGTTTCTCTTTCTTTATTTTTGTAGTTAGCATTTTTCTTTCGGTGTTTGTTCTTTATTTACGTTCCCCTCCCGCTGGCCTATGGCCCCGCGGTGGGGTTGTTTCAAACGGTGTAGGACTTGCGGCCTGGAAAGAGAGAGTTAAAAACATTTTAAGTAATTTATGTGAACTAGTTTCATTTGCAGTGGCTAATTGGTGCACAGCCAGTTTGGTGCAGTGGTTAAGTGCGGCAGATTGTAATCTGGAGAACCGGGTTTGATTCACCACTCCTCCACATGCAACCAGCTGGGTGACCTTGGGTTAGTCACAGTTCTCTCAGAGCTGTTCTCTCAAGAGCAGTTCTTTCGGAGCTCTCAGCCCCACCTACCTCACAGGGTGTTTGCGGTGGGGAGGGGAAGGGAAGGAGATTGTAAGCCGCTCTGAGACGTCAAGTGAAAGGCAGGGTATAAATCCAGCTCTTCTTCTAGCTATGGCGATAGGCCAGCTATCATCAAAGTTATTAAGCTTTGAAAGATCTACAGGTCATGTAGTAGTTGAATGGCCAAAACAGTGGGGGAAATGGTCCAAAGCAAAATGTACTCAAGGATCCCAACAGATTTTTCTAAAATCTCAACTCTGTATCAGGGAAATACACAGACCCTCAAATGAATTTCCTTTGCTTCCTTTGATGGACTCATTGGCTCTCAGTGATGTTTGGTATCTTTGAATAAATCCGTCCTTTGCCCCAATTCTGATTTTTTTTTTCATTTTTGTCGTCTTGTTTATCAGCTAATGTGTGTTGGTTCATGACACAACGCTGGTCATGAGCGGAACGGTGCCTTGCTCTGCAAGAAGCTGCCTTGTACCCAATCAGATCATTGGCCCATCTAGCCTGTATAGCCTGCTCTGATTAGCATCAGTCCTCCAGGATCACTGGAAGAGGTCCTTCCTAGCCCCGCGACCTGAACTCCCTTTAGTTTAAACCTGTTTTATTCTGTATGCAAAGCAAGCGCTCTACCACTGTGCTGGGGCTTATCTCTACCTTGGCTGAAACACCGTCAACCTGCTGTCCCCCGTTGTACGTGTGCACACACAAGCTGGCTGCACGGATGTCCCTTCCAACTCTATAATTCTGTGCACATATGCAGCCTTTCCTCTTAGCTGTTAGACTGATTTCAGAGCAGCAAACAAAAGTTCCGGTCAGTGTCTTTATTGCTCCATTTTGAAGAGTCAGACCTGCAGACTCCTGATACCTGGTCTCTCTTCAGGTGCTAGATGTGATCGCCCCTCCGTATACCTCTGACTTTGTGCAGCTTTTTCTCCCAATCCTGGAGAATGACAGCATTGCAGGCACTATCAAGACAGAAGGCGAGCATGACCCCGTCACGGAATTCATAGGTACGACGTTTTGCATCATTCTCATCTGTGCATCGAATTGCCAAGTCGGTTTATGTGATCTATACGAGCCTGGAAACTTCACTTCTCGAATCTGAAAACCTGAAGAAAGCCCGGAAGGTTGGCAGAAGCATGACAACGTCATGTGGAAGCCAAAATAAAAAATAGGGGACAGAGGCGCAGAGCTCTGGGCGTAAGTGACCTTAGTCACACATGCATTGTATACTAATAAACTGAAGCTTAATCCCATGTCAGCTATTCTGGATGGGGTGGCATTCCCCTTGAAAGAGCAAGTCCATAGTTTTTTTGGGGGGGTTACCAGCCTAATGCTAGATAAACTGGTGGCAGCTGTGGCCAGGTATTCTTTTACCAGCATCAACTGGTTAGGCAGCTGCAGCCTTTCCTGGGCAGGAAGGATCTGGCCACTGTGGTGCAGACTCTGGTTATGTCTAGATTGGATTACTGCCATGCGGTCTACGTGGGGCGGCCCTTGAAAAGCATTCAAAAGCGTCAGTTGGTGCAGACCGCTGCAGCCAGGATGTTGACTGTAGTGGGTCATAGGGACCATATCACTCCAGCTTTGGCTCACCTACACTGGCTTCCGATTAGTTTCCGGGCTCAATTCAAGGTGCTGACGCTGACATTTAAAGCTCTGTGTGGTTTGGGACCAACATACCTGAAGGACCGCTCAGTCCCTTGTGAACCTACCAGACCACTGTGGTCATCTTCAGATGGCCCACCTTCTGGGAGAGGGCCTTCTCTGTAGTGGCCCCAAAACTCTGGAAATCGGTCCCCAGGGAGGATTCGCCTTCTGTTGCTCTCTCCCACCAGTGGGTGAAGACTTTTTTTGTTTCACTCCGCATTCCCTCAATGATCCCTTCTTCCTCCCCGATGTTTTAACTGTTGGTTTTTAAAAAAATCTTTTGTACTGATTTTAAACTCTGGTTTTTAACTTGTTTTAATGATATGTCCATGTGTTGGTTTTAATGGCTTTTAAGGGGAGGTTTTAATTTGTTTGTTTTATTAGCCGCCTCGGTAGCCCTGTGAGAGCGGAAAGGTGGGGTAAAAAAAATCTTGTCAGTGATGATGATAGTATACTAGATGTGAGAGCGGAAAGGTGGGGTAAAAAAAAATCTTGTCAGTGATGATGATAATATACTAGAGTGACGTGTCTCCTTGCTTTTGTTTTCAAAGCACATTGTAAATCGAACTTCATCATGGTCAACTGAGCCAGGAAAGAGAAGCTGCAGTCCCGATTCCATAGACGATTCCTCCTTTGCGTTGTGCAGCGTAGGATGGTATGGATGGCATCCAACAAGAAGCAAAGAATCGCTTGGCAATTCGGGTTAACTGAGGACTTTTTAACCAGTGAAATTAAAAGTTTACTTTATTTAGGGAACAGGTGTTTTTTTTCCTCCCCATGACTTCAGAGAACTACTAGCACCCAAAACCTTTTGTAGAGTAAGGGGAACAGTGAAGTATCGTGTGCTTGTGACTACAGGTGCAAGATCTGTGTTTCCATAGCCAAACAGAAAGTGGGTAATGCAACAGCTGACAAAATTGCTCCTAAAGATGTTTCCCCCACTCTGCGTTGCATACACAGGTGATTTGTGGCTGAGAAAGTGTTGTGTTAATAGCTTGTGCAGGCCGTTTGATCCCTAACAGTTCTGTGGCATCTCATGACAAAGCTGTTGGTTTATTTGTCTGATCTACTCTCCTATTCAGAAATGTCTTACATGAGTCTAAGAACAGAAGAGCTAGCGCTAGTCATCCAGTTAAATCAGTGAATCGGCTGTTAGTGCTCTGTTGCATAGCAGTTGTGGCACTCTCTTGGTAGCCTCTGCATAGCAATGTCCTTTTCTTTAAAAAAATGTTAAATTCTTTGGCCACAGATATTTATAGATAACCACTAGTTCTCTGCAGGTCCCCTTGAAGAAACACTGTAATGTTGTGTATTTATATATATTTTTAAGTCAGCCATGACTACAGGTTTCAGTACCACATGACAGCATCTACTGTTGAAGCATCTGGATGCGCAGGACCAATGTAGCATTCTGCAGGTCAGTAGGAATGGCCACGGACTGCATTTTTGCGGTTCAGTTCGTGAGCAAACCATGAACCGGTACAAACTGAGGGGGTTGGTTTATGAACTGAACTGGTTGGTAGTGGTTTGTGACCCCTGCTTTCTGCTCTCTGCTGCTTTTTGCAGGGAGCAGAAAGCAGGGGTCACCCCACAAAAAGCAGCAGGGAACTGAAAGCAGGAGTCTCTTCCCCCTCCCCCAATCAACTGTTTTTCACTGGGAGCAGAAAGATGGGATTTAGCCCTGACCTGGATAGCCCAGGCTAGCCCGATCTCATCAGATTTCAGAAGCTAAGCGGGGCCGGCTTTGGCTAGTATTTGGAAAGGCGACCGTCAAGGAATACCAGGGCCGGAACACAGAAGCAGGCAAAGGCAAACCGCTTCTGAAATGTCTCTTGCCTTAAAAACAATTCTAGCTTGCTACCTAGTGGACCATAGCGCTAAAAGAGCTAGAACTTCTGGATGCCAGACAATCTTAGGATCCCCTGGCTATTCTACACACAATGTCATATGATAATTCATTAATTAATTGCTGAGATTTAAATGGCTCTGAGCCATTTAAACCCCTGCTTTCTGCTCTTCATGAACTGCCTCAAAAATCATGGAAGTTCATAGCGGCTTTTTCGATTTGTAAACCACGAACCAGCCAGAATTCATCACGAACTTAAGTTTGTGAGCCAGTTCATGCCCATCCCTACAGGTTAGTACTGCCTTTTCAATAACCAAGTCCAGAAAGGAGTATGAGTTCTAATAAATTCTGTGTTTTTTAAAAGAACGTTGCCTTATTTCAAGTTTAAACAGGGTCAAAAGGGTCGGGAACCCCTCCTCCACCGGAATGATGAAGGTGGGTCTTTACACAATTGAACAGTGCAGTGGCTCCTCTCAAAGCATGGCACTGGCCTCTTGGCCGTTAGGGGTCCAACAAGCTCAGGGAGTGGTGTGTGTGTGGTTTTCATTCCATCTGTGGCAAGAGGCTTCAGTCCAGAATTAAGATTACCCGGCCACTGCTTAAGGTCAGGTTGGGGGGGGATCTTTTGTCTGGCCTGCACAGCTTGTGACCCACCAAGGTAAGCACCGTTGATCAGGGGCCTGGAGACCGAGCCCTATGAGGAAAGGCTGAGGGACTTGGGAATGTTCAGTCTGGAGAAGAGGAGGTTGAGAAGGGGGACATGATTGCTCTCTTGAAGTATCTGAAGGGCTGTCACTGAGAGGAGGGCAGGGAGCTGTTCCTGTTGGCAGCAGAGGATAGCACTCACAAGAATGGGTTGGGAAGGTACCGGCTGGATCTTAGGAAAACCTTTTGGACAGTAAGGGTTTTCAGCGGTGGAATCAGCCGCTTAGGGAGGTGCTGAGCTCCCCCTCACTGGCAGTCATTAAGCAGCGGCTGGACAGACAGTTGTCAGGGATGCTCTAGGCTGGTCCTGCATTGAGCAGGGGGTTGGACTAGATGGCCTGTATGGCCCCTTCCAACTCTGTGATTCTACTATTCTATTATCAACCACTAATTGTTCCCTGACACAATCTGAGATGAGCAGCAGAGTTTTAGTCAGTCACAAATTCTGACCTGTTGTCTCGATTCCAGGAGTTTGTGCCGAAGCAAGTTGCTGCTGTTTCGCCGTTCCCTGGAACACTGGCTGCCAGAAACCAGGCAGGGACCACTTCTGATCTGAACGGCAGGAACAGGGCATGGGCACAATCACACCAGGATGCTGCCCTTAAGTCACCTCTAGGGGGTGACTTAAGACTGTGGCAGCTGCTGTCACTTCTTTTGCAACTTAGCGGCGTCCAGTCTGTACCCTTCATTTATATGGCAGACTCAGATAAGTAGCCTTAAAGGTAAGGGTTCCCTTGCTCGAAAGCCAGTCGCATCCGACTCTAGGGTTATGGTGCTCGTCTCCGTTTCAAAGCCGAAGAGCCAGCACTGTCCGAAGATGTTTCCGTGGTCATGTGCAGTGTTCCCTGTAAACTGAGTTAGTGTGAGCTAGCTCAGTTTTTTAATCTCCAGCTCACACATTTTTGTCTTAGCTCAGGAAGGATGGCTCCAGAGCAAACTAATTTATGCAGTAGCCAGATTGCTTGCTCACAACTTTAATGCCAGTAGCTCACGAAATAGAATTTTTGCTCACAAGACTCCACAGCTTAGAGGGAGCATTGGTCATGTGGCCGGCATGACTAAACCCCAAGGCGCACGGAACGCTGTTGCCTTCCCACCGAAGTGGTCCCTATTTATCTACTTGCAATTTCTTGCTTTCGAACTGCTAGGTTGGCAGGAGCTGGAACTAGAGATGGGAGCTCACTCCGTCATGCGGCACCCGGGTCTCAAACTGCTGAACTACTGACCTTCCACAGCCTGCAGTTCAGCGTCTTAACCACTTGAGCCACCCTGACCATTGTCCTTAGGGGCTAGGAGGGAAGCCTTTTTGGCAAGTCCACCACTTGTCTAGTCCAAGGCACAGTGCAATTCTAGTGCATCATCTAGTACAGTGCAATCGTTGAGCCCAGGTGCGGAGAAGTCAACAGCCAAGATTTCCGGCGGCCTCGGGGGAATGCCGCTCTCCCTGCTCCAGATCAACACAAACAATGCTTCTCTGCTTTCCTATGCAAAAACACATGGCTAAAAGAAGCAAAGCCACATGGAAGATTGGTAAGGGGATCTTCTGTTGTACTGATTTCTGTTAGTCTTGAAGACTCGTATTACAGGGCTTTGTCAGTCTCAGGAGACAGTGCCATAAAACTGCTCACCATCTGTACGCAGCCAAGAGTACCTGAAGGCTGCTGTCCCTTGTGTGAAGTAATGCAAAGCTGAATCTTGATGCAGAAGTTCCCTAGAGGAGAACTGGTGTTGCTGCATTGAACAAATTATCATAAACCAGGAAGTTCTGCTCTTGATCGTAGCAGCAGCCTACAGCCAGAGCTATTATAATGCTTTACTGCAAAATCTGCAAGAAGCTTGACCTGGTCAATGCTTAGCCAGCTGAAAATGGCTATTGAGTGTACCGTTTTCCCGTCTGGGTCCTTTCACGGTTCACTCGGTTGGTGTCCTTCCAGTGATTTGGCTGTAGCTGCCAGCAGTGTTCCCTCTAAGCTGAGTCAATGTGAGCTAGTGCCCAGTTTTTTTACCCTCTGGCCCACACATTTTTGTCTTGGCTCAGGAAGGACGGCTCCAGTCCAGAGCAGACTAATTTATGCAGTCGTCTCAAATCACCTGCCTGCTCACGATTTTAATGCTGGCAGCTCGCAAAGTAGGATTTTTGCGCCCAGGACTCCACAGCTCAGAGGGAGCATTGGCTGCCGGTGTCCTAAGAATCCGAGCACAGACAGCGCACGATCAGGCACCTTGTGACCGAAGTTAACAGTTGCCTGGAAGGCCAGACCACAAAAAGCTGGCTCAGTGTTGGTGGCTTTAAATGTCTTGATAACACCGGCGGAGGCAGGCAACATGTGGAATACCACACTGACTTCTCCCAAAGGCTTTCTTGCTTCTCTTTACTGTGCCGAAAGTGAAGAGTTCCATCATCCTCTGTTTTGATTGGAAGAGCAAAGGCAGAGATTTAAAAAACAGATGAATTAGGGGGAGCCGCTTCTTGTCAAGTAGAGGCCCCTGGGGCCAGAAAAAAGCCAGAAGAAGCCGAGCCGACGAGCCGTTCCAGAAGGAAGAAGATCGAATAATGTCCCTCCACTGGGTGTTGTTAGGACAGTCCCCACCCCAGTATATATATGTGGCCATAGGTAAGGGATAACGGTTAACTGTAAGCCGCTCAGAGACCCCCTGGGGGGTTCGAGCAGGGTAGCAAGTTGAAATAAATAAATAAATACAGTTTATCAGCACAAACGTCCAGTCCACGATCCATCCGATTCACCTTGATCCAGAACCCACCCCCACACCCCTTCGGTGGAACACTGATTCACACCAGTTTCGCCCCAAATGCTGAGGCATTCGGAGTCAAATGTGTCCTTCGTTTAAAAACACCACCACCAACACATCAGGCCACTTGTTAAGTACATCCAAAGATCAGATGGAAGATGCTGCCCTCTCCTTACATAGTGCTGCTGAATCAAAAGAACAAAGGGTTACGACTCATCTCCAACGTATCCTAAAATAGATTGCTGTACGTACATCATGGACGACAACAGAACCTCTCGCTTGCCGGCACTATCCATTCCGTAGGTCACTACAGCTGAGCCAGGTTAGCCCAATCTCATCGGCCCCCAACCTGGATGGCTCCCGCTACCCTGATCTTGTTAGATCTCAAAAGCTAAGTAGGGTTGGTCCTGGTTCGTGTTTGGATGGGAGGCCACCAAGGAAGCCCAGGGTCACTACACCGAGGCAGGCAATGGCAAACCACCTCTGAGCATCTCTAGCCTTGAAAACCCTACAGGGTTGCCATAAGTCGACTGCGACTTGACCGCACTTTCCACCACCACCACCACCACATGGAACCATAGAGTTGGAAGGGACCTCCAGGGCCATCTAGTCCAACCCCCTGCACAATGCAGGAAATTCACAAATACCTTCCCCTCCACACCCACAGTGACCACTGTTCCACACTCAGAAGATGACAACCCTCCAGGATTGCTTCCTGACCCCCAAAGTGGCAATCAGCATTTCCCTGGGCACGTACAGAAAGGGCCACAAGAACTACGCACTGAGGCGACCCTTCCTGCCCTCCCTCCCTCATGATCTGCCTAAGTTCACAGAATCAACATTGCTGTCAGATGGCCAAAGCCTCCAAAGGAGGAGAGCCCACCACCTCCCGAGGAAGCCTGTTCCACTGAAGAACTGGCTCTGTCAGGAAGTTCTTCCTAATGTTTTGCCAAAAATGCTTTTGATTTGATTTCAACTCGTTGGTTCTGGCCCGACCATCTGGGGCAACAGAAAACAACTCTGTACCATCCTCTCTATGACCGCCCTTCAAGTACTACTTGAAGATGGTTATCGTATCAGCTGGAAATGGCATACCAAAAGTTACATTGTGCTTCACTCTGACAAGTGGAACAAACCTGGCCTACTATATAAGATACTTACCAGTCTTTTGGTACAATCAGGAGTGACCATATTGCCTTTAGGATGCTGTGTGGATACACTGTTGTCCCTGTCCTTCAGAGGCTGCTGCAGTAGTGTAATAGTTGTAGTGTCAAACTGAAACCTGGGAAAGAAGGGCTTGAACACCCCCCCCCCCAAAATAAATGTACTGGACAACCTTGGGTCAATCATATCTATGCAGCCCCAATGAACTGTTGTCTGTACGAAACAGGAGAATTACATACGACCTTGGAAGAAGAGTAGCAGAAAAATGTACTAACCTTGGGTCAATCATATCTATGCAGCCCCGATGAATTGTTGTCCGTACGAAACAGGAGAATTATATGACCTTGGAAGAAGGGTGGCAGAAAAATGTACTAGACAGATCTGGTGGCAGTGGTTCAAAAAGACAGTATCCTAAACTAGCTGGGTAGTATCCATGGGTGTGACATTACCAGGACACAGAATAGCATCCTATCCCTTAATTCCCAGTTAAGCAGACCACAGAACCTGAAGCCTGCAACCTATACCAGAAAAAGTTCAGTCAGTAGCTGTCCAATATCTCATCATTTTAATGAAAATTAAAACAAGATAGAAAAGGGTTTTTTTTAAAAAAATCAACTCTGGATCACCAGTAAGATACAAAGTAAATTTTATAACACAATTTCAAAAGTACTTACTTCTCTTTCTCCCCTAGTGCAATCAGTACATGTAATTCACTTTGTTAAATATATGCAGCTTTTAAAAAAAGTAAAGGTTTCCCTTGCTCGAAAGCTAGTTGAATCCAACTCTAGGGGGCGGTGCGCATATCTGTTTCCAAGCCAAAGAGCCAGCGCTGTCCGAAGACTTCAACCCAGATGCAAAGTTACAAACAGTGGTCTTGACGGTCAAGTATTTCTCACAAAGACTGCCCTTCCCATAAGCAAAGGCATGGTTTTCTGTACACACACACACAGACGGGGGATTCTTCAGATAGGCAGAAAAACTGTAGTTCACATGTTTTGTGAGGGAGAAAACCACGCCCCTTTCTCCCCAAAAAGAAGACCCTGATAAGGATGGAGTATGCTTATTGCCCTCAAAATGTTGAGAGCAGTTCAGTTAATTAAAAGTGGGGGGAGACTAAAATTTATAGTATCCTGTGAGGGGAGATTGCAGTCATTTAAATGCACCCGTGACTTCTTGCAGGCCCCCAGTTTGTTACAAGTAACGCCTAGAGCGGATTCAAGGGAGCTTCGCATCTCCGTAAGTGCACTCCTCTTCTATACCAAGGTTGTATTCGGCTCCTTTCCATGAGCTTGTCACAATTCTAAGCCAGCCCCTTTCACCCTGCAAGAGAGTAATCAGCATCACAGTCAGTGAGTGAAACACAAGGACACGAAGATCAACCAACCTCTCTCTTATGGTGCCTCCCTGGAAGCCCCAGTTATACATCAAAAAGGCGTACACAATGGAAGAATGCTTCACTATAAACTTGAAAGAAGATTACCATGGATGATGATAGAGGGACTGTGGCTCAGTGGAAGAGCTTCTGCTTTGCATGCAGAAGGTCCCAAGTTCCATCCCCGGCATCTCCAGTTAAAAGGACCAGGCAGTAGGTGATGTGAAAGACCTCTACCTGAGGCCCTGGAGAGCGGCTGCCAGTCTGAACAAGCACCAGACAATACTGACCTTGAGGGACCAATAATAAGGCAGCTCCATGAACTTTACAGCTAAAGAACCTAGTGGGGGGGAGATACTGTTCCTTGATACAAGAGAGCATTTATTCTTGTAAAATTGAACGCTCCCTTCTCGAGGGATGCAAGGTCGAATGCAAAGGACCTCACCCCCTGACAGACTTTCTAACTGTGCTTCTGGACAGAGAGAAACTGTGGAGCACCGCTTACTGGAATGCGGGACCTTTAGCAGTATCAGGGATGTGTGGATCATTCCTCTTTTCCGTGATGATGAGGGGCCGGTAGCACTAGATAAGGTTAAGAAACTCTTGGCAGGCGTGGGTTTAGGAGTTACACTGGACGTAGGCAATTTTTTTTGCTCACATAATTAAATTTAAAAGGACCTCAAGTGTGGTAACTGCTTACTAAACGTACTTGTTGTTTTGTTGTATCTAGTGTGACATTGCTCAAGGCCTGTAGGCTAAATGAGCAGTATCATTAAAGTGAGTGGGGAGATACAGGATGGAAGAAAACCAGGGCCCATTCTCTGGACAAAATACTCAAAGTGACTGCTGGGGACAGAACAACCTCGAGAGTGGTGATGCACCAAAGGACTCAGCTGACTCTTAGCTAACAGCAGGCACGGGAGGTGATGGGTACCACCTTTCTGGGCCTACACTGCCACCACCTGGGTGCAAGACCATCTTGGCTTCGTGCTCTGGGCCATGAAGTTCATGAGCGGACCTTGCTTGGGTGACAGTATCTCCCACCACGTTAGCAAACTTCCTCTCACAGTGCCTGCAACTGCCAAGTTTTTCTACCAAAAGATTCAGACCACATTTAATTTTGAAAACTTCTCATAAGAACATAAGAACCCCCCGGCTGGATCGGAATAGTGGTCCATCTAGTCCAGGACCCTGTCTCACACAGTGGCCATGCAGTTCCTCTGGAGGGCCAACAACAGGGCCTAGAGGCCGAGGCCGTCCCCTGATGTTGCCTCCTGGCTCTGGGATTCCTCTAGAGGCTTACTGCCTCTGAATGTGGAAGTTCCCTCAGTCACTATAGCTAACAGCCACTGACAGACCATAGTTAGCAACCACTGGCAGATCTATCCTCCATGAATCTGTCTAGTCCCCTTTTAAAGCTGTCTACAGCTGTGGACATCGCTGTGGACATCTGGTGGCAAATTCCACATTTTAATCACTTGCTGCATAAAGACGTTCCTCCATCTGCTATCTAGGGAAGCCAACCCAGCCTCCTCACTTTGCAATGTACTCCACTCACCCAACCTGGGATCTTTTTTTAAAAAAGAAAGAGATAATGGACATGTTTGAGTTTCCTCCTTACCCAGGGCTCTCCCCAAGAGTTTCGGACAATCCAGTACTCTGTTCCATTTTCAACGCCCCAGCCGGCGACGGAGACGATGTGGTTGATTGACACAGATGGGCTGTATTCCATATAAAGTCCTCCAGTGTAGGCATCCAGCTTTGGAGTAGCCATGATCCCACAACTGTTTAAAATTAAAGTTGCATTAATGAAAATTGATGCCTCTGAAAGCCCACTCCAGATAACTTCATAGAAGTCAAAGGTTTCAAGAAATGATGCTGGTTCAAGTAGGTCACCCTGCAAATGTGGACAACAAAGCCATTCCCAGTGGATGGAAGGCAGGGGATGTGACCACCAGGGTTCCCCCTCTAAGCTGAGTTAGTGTGAGCTAGCTCACAGTTTTTTAGCCTCCAGCCCACACATTTTTGTCTTAGCTCAGGAAGGATGGCTCCAGAGCAAACTTAATTTATGCAGTAGCCAAATCGCTCACTCACAACTTTAATGCCAGTAGCTCACAAAGTAGAATTCTTGCTCACAAGATACCACGGCTTAGAGGGAACATTGGTGACCACCCGCCAAATTAAAGCAGACCTGGGTCCAGCCAGTACTCAGACGTGAGACCCTGATGAGCAGGGCTTAGAGATAAGAAACATAATGAAATTAAATATAACAAGGCGTGTTTTACATACCACAGGACATAGACATATTTAAACTTTATCAACTCATACACCAGAAACTCCAGCAATATGGAACGCAATCTCCCAGTTTTAATAGTTTAATAGAACAGGAGTTCAAGGATCCACTAGGGCCGGGTGGATGGACGAAATGTGGGTTCCTCCGGTATTCTTTTTTACGCGTAAGCTAGCTGATAACAAGCCGCGTCTCGCCAAAGGCTTCTTCACAAAGATGGAACTCTTAAGTCTTCTGCTCCAAAGGGAAAATTTTCACCAGTATTGTTTCCTTCAGATTGGCAGCAACTCTGCGCTCATTTAATTATATTCTTCCAAAGTAGAAAGCACACCGGTAACTGAGGGACTGTTCTGGAATATGGTCGTAAGGCTGCCAGAAGAAGGAACCAGACCAAAGCAGCCCAAGTTTTGCAGTCAAGCAAGATGGCGGTTTTTATATACATTATTTATAGTCTGCTTTTCTCACTTGGACTCAAGGCAGATTACCCAGAGCGTAGCCAGGCCAAGGTTTTATTAAACTAGCTATAAGAACATAAGAGAAGCCAGTGTTGGATCAGGCCAATGGCCCGTCCAGTCCAACGCTCTGTCACACAGTGGCAAAAATACCAGGTGCTCTCAGGAGGTCCAGCAGTGGGGCCAGGACACTGGAAGCCCTCCCACTGCACCAAGAATACAGAGCATCGCTTACCCCAGACTGAGAGTTCCTATCTATACCTTGTGGCTAACAGCCACTGATGGACCTCTGCTCTATATGCTTATCCAATCCCCTCTTGAAGCCATCCATGCTTGTAGCTGCCACTACCTCCTGTGGCAGTGAATTCCATGTGTTAATCACTCTCTGGGTGAAGAAGTACTTCCTTTTATCCATTCTAACCTGACTGCTCAGCAATTTCATTGAGTGCCCATAGTTAGTGTGGCTTTCTGACCACGAACCACTCCACTAACTAGGACAAAGTTTGAGTCCCATGGCACCTTTAAGATCCACAAAGTTTAATTCTGGGTTTAAGCTTTCATGTGCAGGCACACTTCATCATGCATAAGAAAGTTTATACCCAGAATTAAACTGTGGGTCTTAAAGGTGCCACTGGACTCAACCTTTGTTCTGTTGCTTCAGACCAACATAGCTACCCACATGAATCTATTTCCATTAACTAGGCTTAGTGTGGGTTTGTCAAACTCAGAGGTGAAACCACAGTTTGAAAATGCTTTGTTAACGTCACAGTGAATCTTAACGACGGCTTCATGTGACACATGAATATGGGCATCCTGGCTTGCTCTCTGGCCAGTTCTTCCTGCAGCATATATTGGATGACCATACTTAGACCATATTTCATGGGATGCCTGAACTGAGCCACCGTGTCACCAGAAATGTTGTCACATTGACTTATTTATACAACATCCGTGGCATTCAGTATTCTGTCCACGGTCGTCCTTCAGATTAGAATTACATTGCCAAGGGTTTGTTTATTGTTTGTTCCTTTTTGCGTGTGGTTATTTTTTTAAAAAATGCCTTAAGGAAAATATTTAAATGAGAGAATTATGATTTCACTTCTTAAGCAGCTCAGTGTGGGTTGTTGTTTTTTTAACCCTACCTAATAGGACCGTTGGCGTAGATTTCTGCCATCATTTTGTCTCGCCCGCTGACAGACCCATAATCAGCCACTTTCCAGAGGGTGTAGTTCTTGATCACGTGACATTCTCCAAAAGTAACACACGTCCCACATTGATTGAATATCTGACATTCTACAAGGAAGTAAGAGGCTTGATTATCACAAGACAGTTTTCCCCGACAAGATGAAAAGCAAACAGTGAGATTAAGGGCGGGGCAGGTGTAACGCAGTGGACGATGAGCCTCCCAGTTCAAATCTTGTTTCCGCCACAGTGTCAAGGACTACCACGTATAAGATGTGCTTTGAGTGCTATGCAATGTCCTTCAAAACAGCCAGACCTGATCTCTCTCAGCAAGCAACACATGATTTTAGATGAACATGCAGGGATGTTTTCAGAAATAAGTTCTTTTGGACCACATATATCCAGCCCAAACATATGTGAGGAGGCAAACTCTTAACAGTTTAGGGCAGGGTTACCAAACACAACCTGGCAACTGGCAGGAGGGGGGGTGGGGAACCGGCAGCAACAACATGATATGACTTCCAGGGAAAACCTGAAAGTGATGTCGTGTGCCTCTCTAGGAATCATAGGGAACTATGGTAAAACTACAGCAGTTCTGGCAATTCCTAGAATGGACTGACATCACATGCAGGTTTCCCCTGGAAGTGACATCACGCTGCCAGCGTTTTACTAAACATTATTTCTCTCCTGCCAGCTGCAGGAATGTTGGTGTGAAAAAGGAGCTGGGGGATGCCCCGCCCCAGGTGGGAAACTGGCAGCCCTAGTTTAGGGAACGGTAACTTTTGCAGACTTACTAACAAGGCAGAACGCCAGTCTTTAACTTCTACAGACTCAGAACCTACTTTTATTGTTCAGTCAGTGCAAGGAACCCACCAAGCTGCAAATACTAAGAAAAAACATCACATGACAGGAAGAGGAGGAGCCAGAGTTACTACCTCGCCTGCAGGGTGGGAGGATTTCCATGCTGCAAAATAACTTGGAGCACTGGCAGAATAACTGGAGGGGCAGGTATAGTAGCCAGGCCACCAGAAGAGAGAGAAGGGAATGGCAGCGTTTGTGTGGAAGGGGGGTGTCTACAAACCTGCCTGTACTAAAAAGAATCCCCTCCACTACCTAATCACCTTGCCTCATCTATGTGGCTGATGCCATAAGCGTGTGCGCAAAGAAGTTGGTGGCGTGGTGCCTTTCCTCTCTACCCATGGTGCCCCAGCAGTAAGCCCTTCCAAAAAGTAGCAAAGAAATGGGAACTTCATAGCGGCCTGTAACCAGCAGGTGGGGGTTCCATGGCATACCTGAGAGTCCCAACCCATGGGCTGAAGATCACTACCCAACCATAATACTTAGCGCTGAACAAGATAAAAGCTTAAATATGAATTTGGTTTCCCCCTCCCTTACACTAAAAAACATGATTACAGGGTTGGCTAACTAGTGACTCAGTGGCAGAGCATCAGCTTGGCATGCAGAAGGTCCCAGGTTCAATCCCCGGCATCTCCAGTTGAAAGGACCAGGTAATAGGTGATGTGAAAGACCTCTGCCTGAGAGCTGCTAACAGTCTGAGTAGACAATACTGACTTTGATGGACCGAGGGTCTGATTCAGTATAAGGCAGATTCATGTCTTCCTTTCTGGAGCTATTCACCAGCAGCATGAAATGAATGAAAAGCTATTTGAATGTTGTTTTCTTCCTTCACGTCACGCAAGAAGGAGCGGCACGGGAGCCCTTGCGCTCTCGCATACCTTGATCTTTCGCTTGGTAGTTGTTGCAGGTCTCGTCTGGGATGCCGTGGTCATGGGCGTACTGCCACACGCCAAAGTCGTCCCCTCCTTCACAAGACCCGGCATTGGCGCAGTCGATCACGTTCTGGACCGAAAGGTACGCAGAGGGCCATGTGCCTTTCTTCTTGATGTTGATGCGATCTGAGGGGCAACGAGAGACATGTGTTTGGTGCGCGGCAAGCCGGGGCCTTTAGGGAAGTCGCCCCCCCCCCCAGCACTCCCAAGAGTCTTTGCTTGTAACCAGAACACAGCAGTCACCATGTAGCATAAAACGGGCAGGTGTTTAGGACCCAGAAATCACTCCCGCAGCTGAGTGTGCTGCAGGGCATCAAATCAGCGGTTGCTGAGTCATTTCCTCCCCCCCCCCCTCCACTCCTGGCTGCTCTCTGGAGCTTTTATCTCCCTGTCCTTTCCCAGCCGCATTGAGTCAGTGTGTGTTCTCGGCACCTGCCCCAATTAGCCCCGCTTTGCACTTCCACAATTCACGCAAGGTCAGCCAAGGTACCTGCTGAATTACCTTACGACTGCAGGAACGCCTCCTTACGGAGAAGCGGCCCCCGATGTCACAAGGGCAACAAGCTTGGGGGGGGGGTGTTTTCACACACGCTGAATAAAGGCACCCTCAATCCATTTTCAACGCACTTGGCAACTGGATTTTACTGTGCAAAATGGCAAAACCCACTCACAAACGATGGTTCAAGTGCACTGAGTGCTTCCCCGTGGAATTTTTCATCACGTGGCGTGTTAGGCACTGCCCCCTCCAATGGTGTTTCTTGGCGTCTCGCCTGAAGTCTGCAGCTCGGAGCTTCCTTAAAATGGAAGGGCAGGAGGGGTTGGGGACTTAATGACCCTATTAAAACAATGTCTACCTCACCTTTCCACACAAAGCCCAAGTAGGGTTGCTGACTTGGTAAATTCCTGGAGATATGGAAGGGAAGCTGAGGGAAGGGGGCTCATGAGGAGTGCTCCCCCCAAGCTGAGTTAGCGTGAGCTAGCTCACAGCCTTTTAGCCTCCGGCTCACACACTTTTTTTGTCTCCGCTCAGGAAGGGATGGCTCCAGAGCAGACTAGTTTATGCAGCAGCCAAACCGCCCGCTCACAACTTTAATGCCAGCAGCTCACAAAGTAAAATTGTTGCTCACAAGACTCCACAGCTTAAGAACATAAGATCAGGCCAAAGGCCCATCCAGTCCAACACTCTGTGTCGCACAGTGGCCAGAAATACCAGGTGCCCTCAGGAGGTCCACCAGTGGGGCCAGGACATTAGAAGCCCTCCAACTGTTGACCCTCCCCCCCAAGCACCAAGAAGACAGAGCATCACTTGCCCCAGAGTCCCTATCTATACCTTGTGGCTAATAGCCACTGATGGACCTCTGCTCCATATGCTTATCTAATTCCCTTTTGAAGCCATCCATGCTTGTAGCCGCCACCACTTCCTGTGGCAGTGAATTCCAAGTGTTAATCACTCTTTGGATGAAGAAGTACTTCCTTTTATCCATTCTAACCCGACCGCTCAGCAATTCCATGGAGTGCCCATGAGTTCTTGTATTGTGAGAAAGTACCTCTTTCTCTACCTGCTCTTTCCCATGCATAATCTTGTAAACCTCAATCATGTCACCCCTCAGTCGTCGTTTCTCCAAGCTAAAGAGCCCTAAGCGCCTTAACCTTTCCTCATAGGGAAAGTGTTCCAACCCTTTTATCACTCGGGTTGCCCTTTTCTGCACTTTTTCCAAAGCTATAATATCCTTTTTAAGGTGTGGTGACCAGAACTGACCAGAGCTTAGAGGGAGCCTTGCTCGTGAGGGAGGTGAAACCATAGAGCCCCCCTGCTGAGGTGGCCATTCCCACCAGGGAAAGGGATCTCTGTCGCCTGGAGATCAGTTGTAATTTTCAGGTCTTACCCTGAAGGCGGCGGTAACCCTAGTTCCCAAGGTGGTGGTGGTGGTGGTGGTGAAGTGCCGTCAAGCGGCAGCTGGCTTATGGCAAAGCCCTGTAGGGTTTTCAAGGCAAGAGACAAACAGAGGTGACCTGTCATGACCTTCCCCGTAGCAACGCTGGAATCCCTTGGTGGCCTCCCATCCAAGTATTAGCCAGGACCAACCCAGCTTAGCTTCTGAAACCTGACGAGATCGGGTTAGCCTGAGCCGTCCTGGAAACAGTTAATTCCCTGAAAATATGTTGCTGAAGCGTTATAGTAGAACAATAAGATCCAACCATCAGTAACAGAAATCACAACCAATGTTCCCTCTAAGCTGTGGAGTCTTGTGAGCAAAAATCCTACTTTGTGAGCCACTGGCATTTAAGTTGTGAGCGAGCGATTTGGCTGCTGCATAAATCAGTGTGCTCTGGAGCCCTCCTTCCTGAGCTGAGACAAAAACGTGTGAGCTGGAGGCTAAAAAATGGTGAGCTAGCTCACACTAACTCAGCTTAGAGGGAACACTGATCACAACTGGACCAAAGCTTCCTGAAATAAACACACCTTTTCACGGCCCGCTTAAAAACCAACAAGGAAGACCTCTGTCTGAGCACCAAAGAAAGGTCCTTCCATAACGGAGAGGCAGCAGCAGAGGAGGCCGGGTCCGCCATTCTAAAGCCTCGGTTCCCTCACTGGGCAGCGGGTACAGATTATGTAGGGATGGGTCGAGGGCTGGTTTCGAGAAACAAGAAGCCCCTGCGATGACGGAGCAGAAGTAGAGTCCCTCCCTTGGGGGGGGGGAGTCGAACAGGCCGCAGTTCATCAGAACCCTTTCCCACGTCTGCCATCCCAGAAAGGATGGGAGCGGCGGAAACCACAGGGTAGTCTTTGAATGCACAAACGAGATCAATCAGAGGTGTTGAATTCATTTCTTATGAGCGCCGGATCTGACATACTTGTCACTTTGTCAGGCCGGGCCATGCGTGCCATAAAACGTAATGCCAGGTACCAGAGACATAAACGTTATATAGGGCTCAGGCAAACCCAATTAACAATATTACCTTTTACTCAAAATACAAACATGCGTAAAACATTTAACACTCTTACAGTATTTCTCTGATGCCCGCCCTCCCACTTTCACCGCCCATTACACATTAGCACTGGGACAATATATAGGGACATAATGCACAGCTTTGGTCTTCTAGCAATGAAGGTAATGACCAGTTGCTCGCGGGGCCAGATAAGAAGAGGAAGAGAAGGAGGAGGAGATTGGATTTATACCCCGCCCTTCTCTCAGAGTCTCAGAGCGGCTTACAAACTCCTTTCCCTTCCCCTCCCCACAACAGACACCCTGTGAGGTAGGCGAGGCTGAGAGAGCTCTGACAGAAACTGCTCTTTTTCAAGAACAGCTCTGACAGAACTATGGCTTTCCCAAGGTCATCCAGCCAGGTGCAACTGGAAGAGTAGGGAATCAAACCCGGTTCTCCCAGATTAGAGTACACACACTTAACCACTACACCAAACTGGCCCTGAACCAGCCAGTTCCAGCCCGTGGGTTGTATGTTTGACACAAGTCAACAGAAACCAAGTTGGATAGCATTATCTAGAGGCTGGATGCAATACCCCCCCCCCATCTAATAAGCAGAAGCCCTCTATACACACACATACACAACATCACACATGCTGAAGTCACACAGAGAGAGGAAGCAAGCCTGAATGCACGGTCCATGCCCCCTAGCTACGCACACTTACGAGTTTGTGAGCATGGAGTCCACTGGCATTCCTGTGATCAGGAAGGCTGGTTTTTTTTAACCTTCCCGATGTCGGAGACAGAGCCGACACACGTGTCTTTTCTGTGCCATGCTGATAACAGCTCACAGGCAGGGTTACCGTGCTTGTGTCCCCTTCCACTCAACACAATTTAAGTAGTGTGCACAGTGCTTGAGTTCCACATTTATGGGCCTATAATTTCGTTAATGTGCATCATTTACTTCACCGGGGGGGGGGTCACCCCATTTTTCTACTGTTCAAGACCGCTCACAAACAACGAATTTGAATACGAAGTTGAAGTTCTAAAATGCAAAAAATCTTTAAAGTCCCAAAATATTAAACCAGCGGTGGCCAAAGCCACACTCAATCATAGTAACAGCAAGACAGAATCATAGAGTTGGAAGGGGCCATGCAGGCCGTCTAGTCCAACCCCCCCGTGCTACCTATCTATGAGAGGGGATTCTGGTCCACTTCGCCTATCAACCAAATGCCCTCTAGAACAAAACAGTCTTTATGCCTCTCTCCAAAGCCAGACCTTCTAAGGAAGCGAATGTCCAAAGTCAGGGGCCACAGCCAAGAAGGCCTGGCATGCATGCCCACCAAATTTATATCAGGCAAGCACAGCAGGGCACCACCTGCCGATCTCAGATCTCATCCTGATTTTTACCCGAGTCAAGGAAACGAATGCTTTGGACCTCTGGAAATCCCACTGAAGTCCGTGACGAGAGCCTCTGTACCAGCAGAAAACAGTCAGCTGGCTGCCCCATCATATGATCTGCACATGACCTGTGACTGCTGATGCAAAGTTACAGTGGTGGAGTCAGCACTGGGAAATCCCACATCCCTTTCCCTCGCTCCTCCTCCGTGCTCCTGACCAGCTGCAATACTGCTGACAGCCACAGATCCACACAGCCCCAGACACGCGGGGCTGACGTCCGTCCGGATGCACCCGCCGATCACCTCTGTGCCCTGAACAGTTGCTTCCATGGACTCAGCTAGTAAGAAGCAAGGAAGCCTCCCTCGAAAGTGCAGCGCAGCAGACTGGTTCAGCCAGTCAGGGAGACAAACCGGTCCCCACTCAGCCCCTCCCAGAGGCGCTCAAAGAAACCCTTCTCCAGCAGGAGCCCGTGCAAGGAAGGGCTTTTGCTTGCACTCCCCAAGACTACCCCACTCACTGCAGGACAGGGCAAATGCGGCATTCACGCTGTGCCCCACGGCATGCAACAAACAACGCGACAGGATTAGAGTTGCAGAACCAACCAGACATCTAAAAACAGGACAGAAGTCAGGCGCAAGTGTCAACATGACACATTAAATGATGCAAAATCCCAGACAGATTCTAGCTTCCGTAATATAGACCGCAGCCCCTTGAAATTTTTCCAAGTAACTTTGTGCATCATGTAGCAGAGAGCTTACCCATGTAGAAAAGCCCTCTTGAATAATTCAGTCTTCCCTGCATGAGAAGCCAGGTTCGATTTGTGCCCGGAATTTGGTACAGTTGAGGTCCAGAACCTGCCCTCCCTGCGACAACTCAGCTCTGTGACATGCTGCAAGAACAGAGTGCCTTGAGCATGTGCAGAGTGCATTTCTTTCATTGCCAATCCACGGCACCTGACTTCTACAAAATTAGGAAGAGGCAGTGACTTCCAGACAGGTCCCAGTGTTACCAACTTGCTGCTCTTTTTTTTAATTAAGCCATTCATCCCCAATGCTTTTTTTGTCTGCTTATTTGTTCTAATAATGCAGATTGTGACCCCCACCACACACACACATATCAGAAGAAAAATTGGTTTTTATACCCCACCCTTCACTACCCAAAGGAGTCTCAGAGCAGCTTACAATCACCTTCCATTCCTCTCCCTACAACAGGCACCTTGTGAAGGAGATGGGGCTGAGACAGCTCTGAGAGAACTGTGACTGACCCAAGGTCACCCAGCAGGCTTCATGTAGAGGACAAGTAGGGAATCAAACCCAGTTCTCCAGATTAGAGTCCACCGCTCTTAACCACTACCCCAAACAATAGCAATGTTACTCCCAGCCACATCTGAGAATACCATGAATTCCCCTTCACCCCACTTGATACTCAAGGAAGGGCCATAGCTCAGTGGTAGAGCACCCGGTTGGCATGCAGAAAGTCCCAGGTTTCAGTCCGCATCTCCAGCTAAAAGGGCCAGGCAGAGTAGACAGAACTGACCTAGATGGACCAAGGGTCTGATCCAATACAAAGCAGCTTCATGTGTTCCAAGTGTACCTACTCTCCCCTGGGTGATGAGTCTGTATTCCATTCTCTAGGCAGAAAAGCCCTTTCCACTCGAAAGAAAGGAGGTAATTCTGGGGCTTCTCCCAGCCACACAACCCACATCTCAGTCATTTCATAAGCTGCCTAACTTAATTTATATCCCCAAACAGGGTCAGAGAGCAACTCTGTCCCATAATGAAGTCCCCCTGCAGAGTTTGGAGAGGAAAATAAGCACAGGGTGAGGAACTGGCTACGTCCCCCGTACCTGCAAGGGCGCTGGTGCTGCCGTGTGCCCAACAGGACCCACAGTACTGAGGAATGTGCTGGTTGCGTGTGGCGCTCACGTAATTGACTCCATCTACGTTGCGCCAATCCCAGCTCTGGGGCAGCTTAGAGGTGTCCAGGTATTCGTGAGGACGAGGGTATGTTCTGTGGAGATTGAAACAGGAGAACAAGTTGACATTTCACCCAGCGCCTTGGAAGAAAGCAACATCACCTTTCCAGTATCTAATCAAAGAAAACAGTTTGCATCCAGGGGCACCTTCATGACCAACAAAGTTTAATTCTGGGGTACAAGCTTTCATGTGCATGTGTGTCGCTGAAGAAGAAGAAGAGAAGAGATTGGATTTATACCCCGCCCTTCACTTGGAGTCTCAGAGCAGCTTACAAACTCCTTTCCCTTCCCCTCCCCACAACAGACCCCCTGTGAGGTGGGTGGGGCTGAGAGAACTCTGGCACAAACTGCTCTTTCAGGTACAGCTGTGCCAGAGCTTGTGACTGACCCAAGGTCACATCAGCAGGTGCAAGTGGAGGAGTGGGGAATCAAACCCGGTTCTCCCAGATTAGAGTCTGCACATTTAACCACTACACCAAACTGGGCATGCTCACGAAAGCTGATACCCAGAATTAAACTGTGTTGGTCTTAAAGGTGCCACTGGACTCGAACTTTGTTTTGTTGCTTCAGACCAACAGGGCCTCCCACCTGAATCTACTATCTGATCATGTTCGGATTAACCTTTCCCCTCAGCTGGCGCTTCCTGCAGAATGACCTTAAAAAAACCCCGAGGGAGCATCAGGTGCTTGCCACACTTGTGCTTCTTCTGAACTCTGGCCTGACCAGAGCTGCTCTTGAACTGCTGAACAATGCAGAAACGGACGTGCATGGTTGTGGGAGATGACAAAAAAGTTCAGGTCCTCTAAGGCCATTAGCTTGGGACAGCCGGTGCCAACGGGGAAAGAAGAAGAAGAGACTGGATTTATACCCCGCCCTTCACTACCCGAAGAAAGTCTCAGAGCAGCTTCCAATCTCCTTTCCCTTCCCCTCCCCACAACAGACACCCTGTGAGGTAGGTGCGGCTGAGAGAACAGCTCTGGAAGAACTTGTGACTGACCCAAGGTCACACCAGCAGCTGCATGTGGAGGAGTAGGGAATCAAACCCGGTTCTCCCAGATTAGAGTCCGCGCTCCTAACCACCACACCAAACTGAAACCAGGAGCAGAGAAGGAAGCAGCAAGATTTAAAAAGAAAGGTTGGCAGCTTGCAAGACAAGGGCTTAAGATCCGGGCCAGAGAATGTCACCCACCCCTTTTTTTAAAAATATCCAGCCTGATGCAGAGTCCTGCAGAAGGCAAAAGCCTGGAGTTTAGCCACACACTAGAAACAAAGGCCACCAAATACCTTCTAGCAGCACCAGTGAAATGAAACCAAACACCAGGCAAGCTTTTAAAGTGTGCTGTAGTGGTTTTTTGAGAGGGGAGGGGGATTTTAACCTGGGTCTCTCAGACACGGACTAGCGTCTGGCATTCCCAGGTTCAAATCCCCACTGGTGCCATGGAAGACCGCTGGATGCCCTTGGGCCAGTCACACTCTCTCTCCGCCTAACCTGCCTCACAGGGTTGTTGTGAGGATAAAACGGAGGAGAGGACAAGGATGTAGGCCGCTTTGGGTCTCCCCTGGGGAGAAAGGCGGGGTAGAGAAGGGAATCCAATACAAATAAACAACAGGCGGCCTTTCCCAGCGCAGCGGAACAAACAAGCTCATTTTAGCAGCCAAACAAAGCGTTAAGCGGCACCGACCGCGGCGAGGGCCGGGCCAGCCAATTCGCTGCCGAGCTGCCTCCCACCCCGCGGGATCCGGAGGGGGGATGTGTTCCCAGCTCCGAACCCGACGGACCGGCTTCTCCGCCGCCCTGCCTCCAGCCGGCAGGCTCCGGGTCTTCTCCTCCCGACAGCTCAGGAGGAGGCAGGGGAGCGCCCGCCACCCAGGCCGCTTTGCAAAACCAGCCGGCTTCGGAAACGGGCTGCGGCAGCCTCTTCCTCGCCTTGCTCCCCCAACGGAACCCGGGCGCAAAGGCGAGGGCGGCGCTCCGCGGCGGAGAGCTCAGCGGCCGGCCGCTCTTCGGGGCTTCCCAGCAGAAGCAGAACCCCCCCTCCTCCTCCCGGGTTCCCAGCGCCCCCGCCGGGCTGTTCGCGCAGAGCGCGCGCAGAGCCGGCCAGGAGAACCGGGGCTGCCTCCCCGCCTGTCCCCGCGGGCGCCTCTCACCTGACCCCGGGGCTCCTGCGCGGCAGCGGCTTGTAGCAGCTCTGCCCTTCCCTGAAGTGGAGGCCGCCGAGGCAGCCCCGCAGCAGCAGCGGCGGCGGCAGCAGCAAGGCCAGCCAGGCGAGCCAACGCCCGGCCATGTTCGCGCTTCGCATGCCGGCTGATCCGGACCAGGGGCGCGCCGAGAGAGAGAGAGGAGGGCCGGCGCGCGGCTGGTGGGGAGGGCGGCGCCTCCTCCTCCTTCTTCTTAAGCGCCCGCCGCGACCCAGCAGGGCTCCTAAGGCCGAGCCCCGGCCCAGGAGGAGGGAGGCGCGGGGGCAGGACAGCCCACGTGGAGAGAGAGCCCGGCCGCCGGAAACAGGCGGGGCGGGGGGGGGTTGGCCAAAGGGCAGCCGCGTTGTTTGCCTGCCTGCGGGCGGTCGGATTGCAACATGTGGGGACGGCCCCAGCCCGGCGCAGCCCACCCTTCTAGGAACCTCCTGGCCTGAAAACCAAGCTGACTTAGTCCCATATGGCATTGGGTTGCCAACCTCCAGGTGGGTGCTGGAGATCGGAAAACAGAGCTGGTCCCCAGACTACGCACATCGCTTATATATAAACCATGGATTCCGCTTCTCTCGAAGAAAATGGCTGCTCTTGGCTGACACAAGGCAGGTGTTGGCTCTCCCAGTATTCATGGGCAAACCACAATCTCTCAGCCACCGCTCTGGAACATGCTAGTGATTAGATTAGATTACTGGCCTATCTTTAAAGGGATGTTAAAAGGATTACGGAGATTACATTCCCAAATTCATGCGGGGTAGTTGTTGACTGCACAATCCTTCAGGTGCCTACTCTGAATTGAGTCCCACTGTGCCCAGTGTGGCTTCCAAACCTCCCTCTAAGCTGTTGGGTCTTGTGAGCAAAAATTCTACTTTGTGAGCTACTGGCATTACATTTGTGAGTTAGCGATTTGGCAGCTGTTTGCTCTGGAGCCCTCCTTCCTGAGCAAAGACAAACATGTATGAGCTGGAGGCTAAACAACTGTGAGCTAGCTCACACTAACTCAGCTTAGAGGGAACACTGCGTCCCAACTAAGTACGTTCAGCATTGCTGTCTGTACCCGCTGCTGCAAAACCAAAAAGGGCATGGTTGGAGACAAACAGATTTACTGAAGCATTAAGTTTTCATGAGCTACAGCCCACATCCTCAGATGCATGAAATGAAACTCAGAAGCATATCTATACAACAGAAGGAAAGAAAACAACAATGCAACTTCAGTGGGGGAATCCAATGAGAAATTGCTGAATTAGAATCCCCCCCCCCCGAAGGTGTGATAATATAAACCAGCGCTGATGCCTTTTTTTAAATCACCACAGGCGATTCTCATAATTAGGGTTAACATCACTGGCTATGACTATATTGGACTTTATCCAAAGGTTTTGTTTTGCTAACAGTCAAGCCTTCTGTTGGCGCTAGAGGCCTTCTCCCAGTGGAAAGAGTCTTTTTCCAGGGCAGTGTGTGTGTTTCTCTGGGCAAAGGCTCCTTTTACTGATGGGAAACGGTTTGTATCTGCTGTTGGGGGAACAATTAATGAATTTTCAATCCACAAGAGGACTTGTCCTCTTATCCCGTAACTGCTGAGTCAGAGGCAAAAAAAAGCATTCAGCTTCTCTGCCATTTCCCCATCATCCTTTAGTAATCCTTTTACCCCTTTGTCATCCAGAGGTCTGTTCCTCATAGTACCTTTTTGCCTGTCGGATCACTGACTTGCATTTTATTTGCCAAAACCTGTGCTCCCTTTTGTTTACCTCACTCGGACCGGCCTTCCACTGCTTACGGGAATCCTTCTTACCTTTTACTGCTTCCATTACTTTGTTGTACAGGCCTTTTTTTAATACCTATTTGTACCTTTCCTAACCTGTGGTATACATTTTATCTGAGCTTCTAGGATTGTAGTTTTAAATAGTCTCCAGTCTTCCTGAAGGAATCTAACCCTCCTTTCCTTTCAGTTTCTTCGTCACAAGCCCCCTCGTTTGAGAGAAGTTACCCCTTCTAAAGTTTAAAGTGGTTGTGTGTTGGTCTTTGGGGACAACTCCCTGTTTACATGAACATTAAACTTAATAGCATTAGGGTCACTCTTCCCAACTGCTACTATCACATCTACATCTCTCACCAGGTCTTGGGCATTAAGGTAAAGGTTTCCCTTGCTCGAAAGCCAGTCGAATCCGACTCTAGGGTTGCGGTGCTCATCTCCGTTTCCAAGCCGAAGAGCCAGCGCTGTCCGAAGACATTTCCATGTTCATGTGGCCGGCATGACTAAACGCCGAGGCGCACGGAACACCGTTACCTTCCCTCCAAAGTGGTACCTATTTATCTACTTGCAATTTGTTGCTTTTTACTTAGGAGTAATTTACCTGGAGTAAGCCGCATTGAATAGACTGGAGTAGAATTCTGGATAGACCCGGCTAGAGTTGTTCTCTCGACAGGGTTGCCAGCTCTGGGTTGGGAAATACCCAGGTATTTTTGGAGTACAGCCCGGGGAAGGCAGGGTTTCAGGGAGAGGATGGAACTCAGGAGGGGATAAGGCCATCGAGTCCAGCCATTTTCTCCAGGCGAACTGATCTTGTTCATTTGGAGATCAACTGTAATAGAAGATCTCCAGGTGCCACCTGGAGGCTGGCAACCATATCTCTTAACCACTATGTAAGTACGGAGAATTATAATCGATCGCGCCGAAGAATAGATTCTTTTGAACTATGGTGCTGGAGGAGACTCTTGAGAGTCCCTTGGACTGCAAGAAGAACAAATCAGTCAATCCTCAAAGAAATCAACCCTGACTGTTCCCTGGAAGGCCAGATAATGAAACTGAAGCTCAAATACTTTGGCCACCAAATGAGAAGGGAGCACTCCCTGGAGAAGACCCTGATGCTGGGAAAGATTGAAGGTCAAAGAAGACGGGGACGGCAAAGGATGAGATGGTTAGACAGTGTCATAGATGCAACGAACATGAAGTTGAGCCAACTTCAGAGGACGGCGGAAGACAGGAGGGCCTGGCGGGAGATGATCCATGGGGTCGCGAAGAGTCGGACTCGACTGTGTACGGAGAATTATAATCGATTGCTCCCAGCCAACCCCATGACCCCGGGGCTCAGAGTGAGCACAGGGGCCCAACACACAATACTGGGCCTATCTTTTTTTACAAAACGGGAAAATACAGGCCACAGAAGAAAGGACTATGGCTGCAAATTTTAAATTTAAATCCCAATTTAACACACTAGGCCTGAGAGTTTGCTTTTGGGTTTCACAAACCTGCAGAAATGCATTTCCCCTTCTTCTGGCTGACTTGCCGTTTCCAGCCCAGAGAAGAATGATTTATGAATCAATGGCTTTATGCCCAGAAAAGTGCTAGAACAAATGGAACAGAGTGCAACAATTATTCTTCGGGATGCTCAGAGCATGTCTAACATCATGTCATTAGAGGAAACAAATTAGATGGCTTAATAAAGCTATGGGAGGCTCATAAGAACATAAGAAGAGCCCTGCTGGGTCAGACCAGTAGTTCATCTAGTCTAGCATCCTGTCTTGCAGTGTGGCCAGCCAGTTCCTCTGGAGGGCCAACAACAATGCAGAGAGGCCGAGGCCTTCCCCTGATGTTGCCTCCTGGCTCTGTGTCTCTGAATGTGGCGGTTCCCCTCAGCCACCATGGCTAGTAGCCATTCATAGACCTATCCTCCATGAACCTATCTAATCCCCTTTAAAAGCTGTTCATTTCTGTGACCATCACTACATCCTCTGGCAGTGATTTCCACATTTTAATCCCTCTCTGCGTAAAGCAGCATTTCCTTTTGTCCATCCTGAACCTCCTGCCCATCAGCTTCACTGGATGCCCTCGAGTTCTAGTGTTTGAGAGAGGGAGAAAATTTTGTGGAAATAAGTGAAAAACATATAAGACGACACATCAGGGGTCATTTCGTAGAAAAAGAGCTAGGGGAACTCATTAGCATAACTCATTAGCATATGCCACACCCCCTGACATCACCGGAAGTGTGTCATAAGGCCACACCCCCTGACATCACCGGAAATGTGTCATAAGGTCACACAACCTGCCCCCAACAGTCCCGGCCACCAGTGCCGGCCTTGCAGCTCCACTGCCGAGCTCCATGAGGGGCCCGGCGGTGGACCTGCAAGGCCGGCGGGAGTGCAAGGAAGCCCCGCGAAGGCCCTCCCTGGCCCCAGGCAGGCAGGCAGGGGTGGGGAGAGGCAGGGAGGAAGCAACTTACCCTCCCTCTTCTCCTGCCTCCTGGCTGAATGAGGGCCGGAAGCGGGGCGGCCGGAGGCAGGGGGCGGGGCTTCATCATGTGCCCCACCTCCCTGTACCTCACCCGGGGGAACTGTGTTCCCCCGCGTTCCCCCCCGAAATGACCTCTGCGACACATGATTATGTTTATATAAGACAGGCACACCCTGAAACCCCCACATTTCTCACATCTGGGCTGCAGCAAGACTATCTTGTTGTTTCTGAAAAGTTTTGGTAAGAATGTTGGACATTGTGTTTTAACACATGACGCTGACTTACACTGAATCAAGTCCCTGGTCCATCAAAGTCAGTATTGACAACTAAGACTGGCGGAGGCTCTCCAGAGTCTTTCACGTCACCGACTGCCTTTAACTGGCGCCGCCAGGGATTGAACCTGGGACCTTCTGCAAGCCAAGCAAATGCTCGACCACTGAGCCACAGCCTCTTCTTCTTTACATACAGGCTAGGTAAGAGAAGAGGCGACGGCAGGTATGCTTTCTAAATTACAATCTCATTTACACAGTCTAGTAGTTTTCTTTGGGTAATTGTCATTGAGTAGTTGAGCCCGCGTGCGGGGAGGGCAGGATATAAATGCAATTAAATAAATAAATTCTTGTTTATTTAGTCAGTTCAGGAATAACGAGTGATATTGAAGTAGGTTTCCTTGGCTGGGATATAAGGTTTTTTATTAAGACCTGGAATAAACAAACATCTGAGCTGTTCTTAGTCAGAATACTGGTACCTGTATGGAATGATCATTGAAAAGACTGAAAATTCAGCCCAGGGAAGCCCGATCTCATCAGGTCTCGGAAGCTAAGCAGGGCCGACCCCGGCAAGTACTTGGGAGACCTCCGGGACACAGAGGCAGGCAATAGTAAGCCATCTCTTTGAAATGTCCAAGCCCCACTAGGGGTCGCCAGAACTCAACTATGAACTCCAGGCATACACACACACACAAATACTCACCAAAAAGAATAGACTGGAAATTCTTCGCTTCTGATTTAGTAGTTAGTGCATTGCTTAGAACAGAGACATCATGTTTCCATGTGCCTTTTTGAAGTGACTCCGTAATGCTCAAGAGCAAGGCAACGGTGCTTTCTGCTTACACAGGGGACCCCAGTCTTTTTGAGCCCGTGGGCACCTCTGGACGCCTGACACAGCATGGTGGCCACAGGCACAAAATGGCTGCCATGGGAGGCGGAACCAGCCATACAGCGGCTGCCACAGCTTACCTTACGTCATAAGATTGAAGATTCTTGTGCTGTGGAGGCAGCTGCTGTTGAAGCAACATGTTTAGAAATCGGCACAGCCAATCAAATGTCCAATAACCAATCAGAAGCCTCGCTGGGCAAAAGGCCCAGCTGGCCACACCCACTTTCTATAAACATTTGGCAGACACCAGGAAAGGTGTCAGCAGGGGTCATGGTGCCCATGTGCTCCGTGTTGGGGACCCTTGTGCTAAACCGTCTTTGGGAAGCTCAGCTGGCTCAGAAGAGCCCCCCAAACACCTGATCCCTACATTCCCACGACCCTTTTACTAGAAGCTGCTGTCTCCTGCCTGGGCTTAGTGGCTTCCCTGGGCCCAGTTTATTGGGCTTTCCCCATTTGTTGCTACAGGCCCTTCCTTATTCAACATCCCCCTTTGAGCAGGGGTCGTTTCGTAGTAAAAGAGCTGGGGGAACTCATTAGCATATGCCACACCCCCTGACATCACTGGAAGTGTGTCATAAGGCCACACACCCCGCCCCCAACGGTCCTGGCTGCCACCGCCGGCCTTGCAGCTCCATGGGGCTCGGCGGTGGACCTGCAAGGCCGGCGGGAGTGCAAGGAAGCCCCGCG